GCAGCTGTGTTGGCTAGCCGAGATGCTGCAGAGAAAAACTTAGCTGCAGCTCTCAAGAACAGACAGGAAATGGAGAAAAGATTATCAGACAAAATGAAGGAGATGGAGTTTCTGAAGGAGAAACTTGCTGGTGTAGAGCTAGCACAAGAACAGGCCAACAGCTTTTCTAATATCGTTCATTCTGACAATGTAAGACTTGAACATGATGTGGCATTTCTTAAGGCAGTTCTAGATGATACCCAGAAGGTACGTTTGTTACTCTCATGCTATATTATAATGCAACTTGAATTTGTGCGATAAGGCAGTTTGAGTGATTTGATTATGGCATGCTTGTTTCAGGAGCTGCACTCAACCAGAGGAGTTGTTGCAGGAGAAAGGGCAAGGGCTTTCCAGCTACAGGTGTGGATTTTAACTTAATCCAGTAATAGAAATTTTGAGGGAAATTAATTTGATTCAATATGTGATAGCTATTTTAGTTATGTATGCACGCAAATGAGCCTAGTATCGCTGGTACTGGACTCATTTTGTCAACAATTTCAAGGCATGCAATTCCCTGTTTACATGATAGTCTTAACGTGCATTTGCAAATGCAGGTTGAAGTTTTTCATCTCAAACAACGATTGCAGTCTCTGGAAAACCGAGCCCCCACCCCTAGGAAACCATTCCAAGTATAAGCCCTGGAAAAGAATAGAAAAAAATTGAGGCTATCCATTTATGATGAATAGATGATCTTTCAAGTAGGCAGGGTCTTGCAAAGTAAGGTCCATGGCAACCAGGACTGTTCAGATTTCCCTCCATACGATCAACCTAGGCAACTTAATGCAACAACGTCCAATCCTGCTCCGCTGACTCAGTTGTGTTATGTACACATGTTAGTCGCCCCTTCTGTTTGGATAGTACTCGGTTGTATTATCTCCAATTTGTTTAGTATGTCAAAGACAGCTCAATGCAAATATGCTGCATTTTTATCTGCTAACCCATTTGGCGGGTTTATTCTGCAACATATACCAGACAAAAAATAAAAGTTTTTCCAGAGGGCATGGTATTCCTTGTCATACACACACACACACATATATATAGGGTTTACTATTTGTCTGTCTTACTTTTAAAAAATTAGGAGGAAAAATGACAAAAATCATCTTAATTCATGCTTTAAAAATAAAATATTTTAATTTTTTTCAATAAATGTTTATTAAAATGATGTAGTTTTTGAATAATATTCCTCTTAATTTTTATGAGATAAGACGGATGAGTACTATTCTCATATATATATATATATATATATAGTGTTTGGTAAATTTTAAAAAATAATTATTTTTAAAGTATTATTTATCTCTCACAAATTCAAATTTTTATTGAAGGGAAATATTAAAATTAGCTTTTTAAACGAGTTTAGAATAAATTTCGAAAAAGTTAAACAATAAATTTTATTCAAATATTACTTGAAATCCATTTTCAAAGGCAATTCTTGAATTTTTTTTAACAAAATTGCAAATTTATGAGAGTAAATCTTATAAAGTATTTTTTAAGTTTTATAGAATACCTTCATAATTGAGTCATTGAGATAAAATACTCTTGTATAGCTGCTGATTCAAGTGGTTTCTCAACTGGTAAGAGAGTGGCTATTTATCTAAATCATAAAAATAAGGTAAGTTCAAATAAGATGTATAGAGAATGGCTATTTCCTGTATAAATTAAGGTAATCTAAAAATAAAAAACCATATAAATCTCAAAAAAAAAATATTCAACTATAATGATGCTTCTCAAGGCCCGATTCTCTCTGATCCATTCTCGGCCCATTAAAACTTAAAATCCAAATTAGCAATAGAGAGCATTAATTCAATCCAAATTAGGAATGACAAGAGTCTAGAAACGGCTTTCAAATTTGGGCCTAAAACCTGCAGAACCCACAACCACAATCAGGGCTGTCGATGGTTATTTTGCGCAAAAAGGTGACACGGGCCTCCTTCATTCTCTCAAAGGGGACACGGGAGAGCGGGACAGGGAGTGGAGGCCGAACATTGTCGCCGGCAGCAAATGGCGCTGTGTTTATGTCGGAGGATCCGGTCGCACAGAGAGAAGAGAAAGTGATAAAGAGAGAGGAATATAAAAGATGTGAAATAAGACGGTGGATCTCGCCCGGGAAGGTGAAACTGATGCAAATGACTTCAAGAGGAGGGTGGAAGAAGGTTCAAGCAATTCTTTATAATTGTCCCGAAGTCAAGAGAATCTCTTTCCATTTGGAATTAGGTCTTTTAATCCAACTTTGGTTTAAACTCTTAAATTTACAAATCAAGTTGTTTTATTCATTCCAATTTCAAATATCCAAAATATAATAATTTGATTGTGAAAATCAAATCATACTTGTTAATGTTTTACTTTTTTTTTATTTATTTATTACTGATTTAGATTGTTAGTATTGTTAGGGGTATACAAAAATAAGTTAATATAGTTGATACAGTTGATATCTTTCTTTTCTACTTATAATTTACAATCATATATTATGTAGTATTTTTTAAGAGAAGTAATAAATTTTGATATTCTCATAATTTATATAAAAAATAAATTAAACATTTCATTTCATATAAAATTCATCAATTATACCATGTGATATAGTGGTTGTATTCTAAAATTATCAAAACTGTGTCATTCAAAGCAACAGTTTTTATTAACTTATAATCATTAAAGAAAATGAAATCCTACAAATCCATAAATCCAAAATTATATAATTCTATTTAAACATCTTTAAGCAACAACGTATAACTAAATACGCACCTTATATACAACTAAGATGAAGATCAAAGTC